AGATGTGGCATTCTAGCTTAGCCTTAAAGAGAAGAAAGGGAAGAGAGGGGGGTTCTAAACAAAGGGAACAGTACAAGCGAAGGCCTGCGGCAAGTGGGGAAACAGCAGGCGTTTGGGGGAAGTCAGCAGTTGAATTGGTTGGTATATAGCAATGGTTCCTTCCTGGGGAGAAGGGCCCTGGCTTGTCACCAACCCCACTCAACTGTACCAGAATACAGGGGAGAGGGGAATGGCAAGCCCGACATATTGGAATGACTCCCCAAGTCATTCTGAGGAGAATTCCTGGTAAGGAAACGTTATTTATAAAGCGTGTGGGGGGGGGGGGGAAGCTAGAGAAATGGTGAGGCAGGAGGAAGTAGCAGGCAAAGTTGCAAAGAAGTTTATCTTTGGGGTCCTCCTGTCCCCTGAATTCAGTGGTCTCAGTACTCTACTCTTATCTCCATGTCTCACTCACACAGGCCCCCACTGATATGGTGGTGATAGCAATCCCTTCTAGCTGAGGGGGGTTTCTTTAGCGAGTGGCCTTCCATTTAGTCACAATTCCATCCAATTCAGCCTTCATTGACCAAGAGCCCACCATACACAAGCCAGCACACTCTCCTCGGATGCCCAGATGAATGACGTCATCCCATCCTCAAGGATCTCACAGTCTAAAGCATCTGCATTTTAATATCTAAGTTCATACATCAAATGCTTTTAAGAACTAAAGGAATTGCCAATCGCAGCAAAATAGGGAGAGATCTTGAAGCAAATAACCTTGCCCTAAATTCCTAAAACACCCCCAATTGAAAGTGTATCTGTTCTAAAATTGCTCGTGCCAACTGCCAACTTCCTATATGTTAAATATGCAATATTCAATCAGCAAAACAGCTGGCTAAGCTAAACATCTATAGGGATCAGTGGTTCTTCAGTAGAGACATTTTTGAATGAGAAACAGAAATGATGGAGGAAAATCATTCGCATAATAGGGAGAGAATTCCAGGCAAGTCTCCTCTCAAAAAACCAATTGTTTTCTCCCTAAAGAGGCAGCTCTCCACCTGTTTCATCTCATCTCAAGCATTGTGTGAAAGGCATTGTCGGAAGGGTTGTGCTGCAGCAGGGTCCAAGGGTGTGTAAATGCACTTGACCCCCCAACTGGAACAAGAGAGGCCCCTGACCTTGCTGACCAAAGGCTCCTGAAGAGGCAAAGACAACAGAAGAAGGGAAAAGCGGGGAGGTAAGAGGAAGATGGGCTGTGCAGGCATGGTTTTGTCCAGGAGGGCACATTGCTGGCCAGCCTGAGGCTGGAGAAGTTATTTCTTCTTCTGCCTCGGGCAGCACTGCTGTGACCTGGTCCCTACCGACCTTTCTACCTTTACCTCTATCGACCTCAACTCATACACTTTATGCTCTGATAATACCTAACTGCCGTTGTGACCTTCTGTCACTCACTCTCTCTCTCTCTCTCTCTCACACACACACACACACACACAGACACACACACACACACACACACACACACACACACACTTGCATCTGCTGCTCCTTCTACCCAAAACTCTACACAACTATTACAACCCTTCACCCTCTCCCCCAACCCCAGTGAGTCATTTAACTCTTACACAACCTTCATGGCTTAGCGTAGAAGTGATTTTCTCCAGGAAGCTCTCCCTGCTGCCTGCTTGTTTGTGCTGCCACAGCATCCTGGGTAGTCCTCACTAAATCAATCTCACCATCCTCTGAGCCCCTTGAAGTCCAGACACTTACTTACTCATCTTTGACTCCATAACAATTTTCATGGACTTCCCTGGTGGCGCAGTGGTTAAGAATCCGCCTGCCAATGCAGGGAACACAGGTTCAATCCCTGGTCCGGGAAGATTCCACATGCCACAGAGCAACTAAGCCCGTGTGCCACAATTACTGAGCTCACATGCCACAACTACTAAAGCCTGTGCACCTAGAGCCCGTGCTCCGCAACGAGAAGCCACTGCAATGAGAAGCCCGTGCATCGCAACAAAGAGTAGCCCCCGCTCACCGCAACTAGAGAAAGCCCGCGCATAGCAACGAAGACCTAACACAGCCAAAATAAATAAACAAATATATAATTAAAAATGTTTTTTCATAATACTGTCCTAGTGGACCATGAGCTGAGGAGGGGGTGGGACAGAGGGAAGGGAAGTCCATTATTCACCTTGGTGTCCCATTGTGAAGCGCGTGAGACGTACTGGCTAGACAGATACACATTTAATAGTTCCTATATATCTGATTCATATAACTACAGAGCTAATTTAATGCTGTTCATACTATAATATGGCTTCTATGCTTCCCAAGTAATATATTCATTGTCAATTTAATTCATAGTTTAAAAACAAATCCCTTCAAATACTGTTAAGAGAGTCAGTCAAATCAGGTGGCCCAAACTGGATGGTGTATTCATTACCCTGATGGTTAACTTAGTGCAAGAAATGTGACCTGTTTCATGAACATAAAGACATTTTGTGGGAGCATGGGAAGTTCTGCTCTTGGGCCTAGGAATTCCCAGTCTGAGCCCAGTGCTTAGTGAAGACAGAACCGGGCTCCTTACATGAGAAGAGTAGTGAGGAGAGATGGAGAGGAGGGGAGGGAGTTGGGAGGAATGGAACAGAGCTCAGTATAGTAGATGCCAAGGCGGCTAGGTTCCAGCCTCAGCTGCACCACTAACTCACTGTCCCTTGGCCTCTCTAGGCAACAACTTCCTCAGTCTGAAAAACAAGGCAGATGGATGAGATGATATTATATCTTCTTTCTAAAAAAAAATATTTCACGCCTTTATTTTTAAAAGTTATGTCAGAGATATAATTTGTTTTAAAACTATGCTAATGCATATCATGCTTTATTTTATTGCCTATTTTTATTATGCTTACAGTCAAAGATTAAAAATAAGAGTACACATTGCTGTACTCTTATTTGCCTTCTTATCCAAGTTCCAATGGACTTCTGATGAGCTGTCTTCTCCAAGGTCCAAGAGAAGGACCTATTACTACGGTAGCTTCCTTTGTTATAGACATTTAAAGCGTAGCAGTTACAAACGTTACAGAGAAATAATTTTTTAAGGCTTTATTTTCCCATCTTAAAAAAATATTTGATTTGAAAATATTTTTAACAAGTTACTCATCTGTTTTATTCACCAACAATTTATCAGTTGGAATAGGATTTCTCATTCACACATCTCGCTACTAGCACAAATCAGTAATCTTATCCACTTCGGGAAGAGAACTGGGGTGAAATCTAATGGATATTTCAAGCAACACATCAGTTAGCCCCTATAGTCTTCCACATTTTACGTTGCTTCCCTATAATCATCATTCATTTCTTTAGCACCGCGAGGCCATGAGTATCAGAGGCAAAGATGTGTCATGATAGATGTGTCATGGTATCATCTGCTAAAGATCTAACAGATCAATGGCGTCTTTATTCTTTCTGAAATAAACTCTGCCACCCTCTATGTGTATGTGTATATATATATATATATATATATATATATATATATATTTTTTTTTTTTTTTGGCTGCATTGGGTCTTCGTTGCTGCGTGTGGACTTTCTCTAGCTGTGGAGAGCAGAGGCTACCCTTCCTTGCTATGCACGGGCTTCTCATTGCGGTGGCTTCTCTTGTTGAGGAGCACGGGCTCTAGGCACGCGGGCTTCAGTAGTTGCAGCACGTGGCTTCAGTAGTTGCGGCACGCCGGCTCTAGAGCACAGGCTCAGTAATTGTGGCACACGGGCTTAGTTGCTCTGCAGCATGTGGGATCTTCCTGGACCAGGGATCAAACCCGTGTCCCCTGCATTGGCAGGCAGATTCTTAACCACTGCACCACCAGGGAAGTTCAAAATTTCATTTGTTTCTCTCAAAAATCTGTGCCAGTGTAGTATTGTCTTTATTTTGCAAATGACTGTCATACAATCACAGCTCCTTAAGTGACAAAGCCACTTTCTATTTCTCTTTTTTTCAGCCTTGTGTGTTTTTCTATATCATTGTTGGCATGCTAACAGCTGGGACATCCTGTGATGAGTCAATAGTATTGGTTTTAATATAAAGAGTAAAAACTCTGGCTGTATTTTCAACTAATTGCTTAACTGGCAGGATGATGGAACAGAAATCAAATATATTGAGGAGGGTAAGTAAGACTTATGAGGAACTGGCATTTGCTACTGGCAATTTCTAAGCAGATTAAAAAGACGTAAAGAACAGTAACAAAATACAATAAACTATTCAGCTCCTAGCATCATAACTGCTAAGTATGTTTGTTGAAAGAATGAGTGAATGAATGAATTGGATGTATTTTTAAATATTTATGGAAATGACTATGATGATACATAAAATTATTGAATACTTACCATATGGCAGGCACTGTTTTTAGTCCTCACATATGTGTTTTTTTTGTTTTGTTTTTTTTTGCGGTACGCGGGCCTCTCACTGTTGTGGCCTCTCCCGTTGCGGAGCAACAGGCTCCGGACGCGCTGGCTCAGCGGCCATGGCTCACTAGCCCAGCCACTCCACGGCATGTGGGATCTTCCCGGACCGGGGCACGAACCCGTGTCCCCTGCATCGGCAGGCGGACTCTCAACCACTGCGCCACCAGGAAACCCCTATATATCCTTTTTATATACCCAAACATATCCCTTTTATACATCCGCATTATAGATCCCAATCATATCCCTTCCACCTGTGATTGTAAATAATTCCAGATGCCTGATCAAGGGGTTCCAAGCAGTTAACCTAGGAGACCCACATGGCCCTTCCCAGAAGATCGCACCCTCCCGGGACCTTCCTGTCCGGCTCGCCTTTGGCAACACCCGGCCCTCCGCCGCGTGAGCGCCGCCTCCGGGCCGCTGCGCCGAGGCGCGCGTACTCGAGGCCACGTGACCCCGAGCCGCCATGGCGGCGGTGCCGGCCGGTCGCCGCTCCGGGCCTGCAGCGGGCGCCCGCTTCTTCTGCACCGCGGGCCGCGGCCTGGAGCCCTTCCTGATACGGGAGG